GGGGGGAGGTGCTGCCCGTGGGGGGTACCTGCTCTGAGGGGGGTCTCTGGGCGGGGGAGGTGCTGCCTGGTGGGGCTCTCGGGGGGGGGGAGGTGCTGCCCGCGGGCGGTACCTGCTCTCTGTTCCAGGAGGAGCTGGTGCACTGCCGGGACACCCCCATGCAGAAGCATTTCAGGCAGCCGTCGGGGTTCTGGTCGCTCAGGTAAAAGGCTCCAGACGTGCACTCGTTGCAGAGACGTCCCGCCACGTTGGGCTGCAGAAGAGATGGAGGGATGGCACCGAGCAACACGGCGCAGGCTGGGCACGCAGCAGGGCTGCTCCCACTGCACCCCCACACACACTGCCCCAGCCTGGCAAAGCCGAGGGCTCCTGCGTGCCCCGGGGCACTGGCTTGGCTCCAATACAGCCTGTCCTCCAGGGATCTGGGCCTCTGGCAAGGGGCTCCCACCACTCTTAGGAGGGCATGGCACCAACAAGTCCTGGCGCTGGGTGCCAAGGGCCCTAGGGAGAGCTGTGTCTGTCTGGGGACCCCGGAGCACGGGGGAGGGGGAGTGTAGCATTGTGCCAAACCGCATCGCACAGCACTGCACCATGCCGCACAGCACCACGCAGCACCGTACCGTGCCGCACAGCACCACAGAGCACCGCGCAGCACCGTACCGTGCCTCACAGCACCACGCAGCACCGTACCATGCTGCGCAGCACCACAGAGCACCGCACAGCACCACACAGCACCGTACCGTGCCGCGCAGCACCACGCAGCACTGTAGCGTGCCTCACAGCACCACAAAGCACCGCGCAGCACCACGCAGCGCCGTGCAGCACCGCACCGCACCGTACCTTACAGCGGCAGGCGCCTCCTGTGGAGTCACTGCTCCCCCGCTCGTCACACTTCATGAACTCCTGACCTGGGGAAGCAGAGGGGTTTGCAGCCAGTCAGACACTCACCCACCCTCCAAACGACTCGTCTCCTGCTACCACACCCTGGGGCAGCCCCGGCTGCTTGGCTGAGGTGTCTCTCCCAGGATGCCAATGAGCAGTGCAGGGAAGGAGACCAGCGCAGTGCCAAGGGCCGGGGGCACTTACTGGCAGAGGGCACGTGGGGGTACTCACCAGTTCGCACGCATCTCCCGCCCGGCTGCATGGGGTTCCCTTCGTAGCCACGGGCACAGCTACAGGGGAATCGAGCAAGACGCCGGGTCAGACGGGCCCTCCTGGAGCAAGGCCATGGGTGTCCCCTCTATAGGGCAGGTTCCCTGACCCCCCCACTTCCCAGAGGGCACCCATCCATCTCCCACTGTGGGAGAGCTCTCAGTGTGTCCTGTTCCCCAAGGGCTCCCCCGGTCCATGCCAACCCCTGCCCTTCTCCCTCCCGTGGAGCCAGGGCCATCCCTGCTGCCCATCCCCCACACAAAGACCAGGCCCAGTTGGCCCCCTCAGCTTACCTCTCCCCGCAGCCTTCCCCATCTAGGAGAACCCCCCAGTGCCCTGGGCTAACATCCCCCCTGCTCCACCAGCGCCTCAGGGACCCACCTCTCACAGCGTCGCCCCGTGTATCCCTGGGCGCAGGCGTCGCATGTGGCCTGGCCATCCGTGTCCAGGAAGCACGTGTCGGAGAACCTGCAGGCAGCAAAGCAGAGACGGTTAGCGCCCTGCGTGCCCCCGGGGAGCATGGAGCCAGGCAGAGCAGCCCAGCAATGAGGCGCCCACGCCCTGCAAGCCACGGGTGGTGCCCGTCCAGCACTCACCTGCGCGTGGAGTCGGTGTAGGGGCAGGGGCAGGATCGACAGGCTGTGGCGTTGCCTCTGGTGGCATCTCCAAAGAAGCCAGGTTTGCACTTGTTACACTGAGGCCCCTCTGTGTTGTGCTGGCAGTTCTGGGGGAGGGCGGAGATGGGTCGTTGAGGCTCCAGGAAGCTGCGAGGGGCACGGTGCCCCCGGCAGGCAATGCCACCCGCACTGCGCAGCACCACACCGTGAACAAGGGAGCACAGGCCCGCCCCACCCCGTGACTCCCCTCTGCGCTCAGATGTCCCAGCATGCACTGGACTGGGCACGTCACGAGTGGCACTGCCCATCCACGGTCTACCTGGCATTGCCCGGGTGTAGGTCTGGCCAGCACATGCCCTAGAGGAGAGAGCCCGGGACTGGGTAATGCACAGAGCCCCGCTCCAGCCCGCTTGGCGTCTGCCCCACCCCTCCCGTTGCTGGGGGGGCCAGGTGATAGCCAGGAGGTAGCCAGGCCCTGTCCCTTACCAGACAGTAGCCGAAGGCCCGGTCACAGGAGCTGGAGTGCCCGTGGCAGTTGCAGCCGGAGCAGGTGCCGAGGTAGGGGCCCTCGCGTACCCGCTCGAACCGGGCATCGCACCTCTCGCAGGACAGGCCCGAGTAGCCGATGGGGCACCTGGAAGGGAGCAGGAGGAGCTAGACGCAGGGAGTGGGACAGTCCCAGGCTACGGAAAGCCAAGGGCTCGGCTGACATTCCCCCTGGTGATCCCGTGGGCCCAGGGAGCCCTCCCACCCTGGTTCCAGCGGGGATGGAGCCTGAGCCAGGACAGAGCACAGCAGGCGACGGAGCGGCAACGGCCGGGTCTCCACAGTGGGGAAGGGGAGCCAGCCAGAGTGGTCCCCCCCTACTCACTAGGGGCTGGGGAGAGCAGGCTGGTCCCTTGGGTCATGCCCTGGGGCAGGTGCCCTTCCTTGGTTCGGGACTGGGATGCTCCAGCGCTGAGGGTACTGCACAGTCTCCAGTACTTACCCACAGGGCCCCCCTGCTTCCCGCAGCGTCCCCCTGGCTCCCCGCAGCACCCTCCTGCTTCCCCCCCGCCCCGCCTCCCCCGCAGCGCCCCCCTGCTTCCCTGCAGCACCCTCCTGCTTATGCGCAGCACCCTCCTACCTCCTCCCTGAGCCATAGCACGTAAGGGGGACCCATGGCACATAGTGGGGACCCGCAGCAGACGCTGGGGAACTGCGTCAGGCCCTGGGGGACCCATTGCACATACTGGGGAACCCCAGGAACACAGTGGGGACCCACAGCACGCTGAGGGGACCCACATCAGTCACTGGGGGGACCTGTGGCATGCACGGGGGACTCACAGCATGCAGGGGGGACCCGTGGCAGGCACTGGGGGATCTGCAGCTTACAGGGGGGGACCCACGGCAGGCACTGGGAGGACCTGCGGCACACAGGGGGGACCCATGTCAGGCACTGGGGGACCCACGGCACACAGGGGAACCCGTGGCAGGCAC